TACTGTAAGTAGAACTGGAACCAAGGTAGCACAGGGCTCCCAATTCCCATTCCATGGAGTCGGTGGTCAATGGTATCGAAAGCCACAGTCAGATTGAGATGCAGGAGCGAGGTGACCCTCCCCTTGTCCTGCTCTTCGTGAAGGTCATCCATCAGGTGACTGAACAAAGATGGGTACTGAACAACTGCAAACACAAATTTGGAGTTTGATGATGCAGAAAATGTGTTTTTGGACACGGAGCACGACTAACCTTGATTATTCCAGTGAATCCCGGGCACCAGTAACCAATGACTCATTTTTTAAACAGATTGTTACTTCCTTTCCTGTGACTCACTTGTTTTTGCCTCGGTCCATGGACTGCTTATCCATTTGCAGGTCAAACTCTGTCGTTATGTCATTCAACTCGCCCAGCTTCCCAAAAGAGCTCCATTCGGTGTTGATACACATGCATCCAGCACCATGCTCCAAGCCTGCTATATGCTGCAACTCCTCCACATAACCGCAGTTAGTGCCAGCATCTACCGTATGCAGGAAGGCAGGACACAGGGAGAGAAGCTCAAAACAGGAGAAACAGCATTTTAATAAAGCCTCCGGCTGCACGGCAATGAGAAAGTGCAACTGTCCTGCAACTGGTCATCTATATGCCAGTATCCTAACTCTCACAACAGTTAGGGCCTGCCATTTTGATGAAATGCAACATCTTCCTAGAATGTGTGCTTAGAATCCAGCTCCCTAATTCTTAATCACCAGGGAATTGGTTTCTAGCCCTGTGATGTGGCTACATACTATGCTGAGATTCTTCCAATCTAGGAAGAATAGCCAGTTTCTTGGCACCCCTGCCCCCCACATCTACTATAAGGCATACGCAAGCCTTCCAGCTCAACAGCTTGCTAGCAAGTCGCCAGCACCATGCAAGGTTTTGCTTACCTATCACCAGCCCAACCTCACATGGCTCTTTCTCAGAATGGCAGCTCAACAAGGTTCCCACAGAGTCGTTTATTACAGCAACAACCTCAATCTGGTAGTTCTGGAGAGAAAAAGATTAAAGCGACTCTCTCGTTTTCTCACCAGAAGCACACACACACACACCCCAATGCATGCTTCAGTCACAGCTGACGCAGCCGCTGTCCTCACCTTGCAAGTCTGGTTAAGAGCTGTTTGGAGCAGTTGTGCCACATCATGCCCCTCCACACCTGGCCACCGGCAATCCTTGCTCCATCTGATCAGCTTACACTAAGGGGAAACCAAGCAGGAAGGCCACTGAGAAACTTCAACAAACCACTGAGAAACCCAGCCCTGCTTCCTACAAGCAAAGTATTCAAGCAAGAGGACCAACGGGGTTATTCATGAAAACATGTCCTGTGATCTTTGAAAAGTAGAAGAATCCAAATCTGAGAATGACTTTGACAATTCATTTACTCTATATATTCATTCAGTAACAAGCTCTATATTGGTTTAATCAGCTGCCACCAGTTTTGTATTTGGATAATGGGTTTGTGTATTTTCTAAAGAGCTGTGTTATGTTTTATTCTTTTTATGTGGGCTGCCTTGGGAGGATTTTCCCTCCGAGGCAGTGTGCAAGTTCTGAAATAAATGAATAAAACAAATAGCGCAAAATCAGTATGCTGATGACACCCAGCTCTATCTCTCTGTTCCATTTGAATTTGCAGAGGCAGGGCAGGTGCTGGGCCAGTTTGGAGTTGGCAGCGAACTGGATGTGGGCCAATAAATTGAAAATGAATCCAGACAAGACCAAGGTGCTGTGTCTTCCAGGTTATTGAGATCTGGATGTGGGAACACAGCCTGTTCTGGATGGGGATGCACTCTCCCTAAAGGAGCTGGTACTTTGCCTGGAGGTGCTCCTGGACTCAGCACCACCAAAGGAGGACCAGGTGGCTTCAGTGGCAAGAAGCACCTATTTTCGGCTCCGGCTTGTTTGCCAGCTAGTCCTTCCTAGACAAGGAAAATGTGGCCACAGTTACGTGTGTTCCGGTAATTTCCACCCACCCAGGTGGACTACTGCGATGTACTGTGCATGTGGCTTCCCCTGAAGGTGGCCCAGAAGCTGAAACTGCTGGAGAATGTGGCGGCCTTGCTACTGACAGGTATCACTGGCCAGATGCACATTTTATCAGTTTTGAAAGATCTGCAGTGATAGCCAGTTTGCTTCCAGGCTCAATTCAATGTGCTTCTGTTAACACAGAAAACCCTAAATTACTTGGGTCCCAGATATCTGATGGAGTGCTTCTTCCAATGTCAATCTGCATGAGCATTAATATTTGCAGGGGAGACTCTAGTCATGCTGCTGTTATGGAATGTGGTTTGAGAATAAGTGGTGAGCAGAAGGACCTTTTCAGTGGCAGCCCCTAGGCTTTAAGAATGTGCACCCTTCAGAGGTGCATATTGCCCAGGTACTGTACAACAGCAGTGAGGAACTCAGTCTGGCCCATGAGTCAGTTTTCCCCAAACCCAGTGCCAGAATTAAGTATAAATTAAATAAGCTATAGCTTAGGGCCCCCCAAAAAATTAAAGGGGGAAAAAAGATATACATTTCCAAAATATGAGATAAAAAACAAATAAAATAAAAGCTACATGCAGCAACAGTATTTTGGCTCCTATCATGTAAGTAATGGACCCCGCCTGCTAGCCTGCTCCCTAAAATATCACATATAAAGGGCCCCATTACCTTCAGTAGCTTAGGGCCACATCAAACCTAAATCCGGCCCTGCCCAAACCACGCCCATATGCTGCACCTTTGACATCATGTCATGTCAGGTGGGGGGCACATAAAGACATGACTGCAAAGGGGAAATGGGGAGTCTTAAAGTGCACTCCTGACCATTCCTTGGCAAACAAAGCTTGTTCTCAATGCCAGCCAGCCGAGTGAAGTGGGTCAGGAAAGTGGGTACAAGATCATAGCTTTAAAGTTCCGTTTGGATTTCCTTCCTATCTCCAGTCTCCCGTACTGCCTGCTGCTGGGCCAACAAAGTATTCACCTGGTTCAGCGCAATATGTTCACAAGGAAAGGGAAAGCAGAAGCACAGCGGCAAATTTTTGATGTTGAGGCTAAGTCCATCCAAAAACGTGGCCACACATTTTGCAAGGAATTCAAAAAGCTGGAAAAGAAAGCACGGTATTATGAGTACATTCCACTCGCCTGAGGGCACGATGCCAACAAATGACGACAGCAAATATTTGCTAGCAGTGTAGAACCTGAAATTTCATCAGTAGTGTGATCTCACCAAATCACCCAGTAGGGTTTTTTATCAACCTCTTACCACTATATTATTATTATTATTATTATTATTAATTAAAAAACAAATGCACACAAGATAGAAACAAATATTTTAAAAAGGGAATGGCTCTGACGATGCTTAAGCAGTATAACTGAAACCAGCATCAAGACAGGTTCTGCTAGATACACCCAGAATCTGACTCAGTATAAGGCAGGTTCCGATGTACGTGGCAAAATCTGTCTTTTTCCTCTGGGGACAAATATCTGTTTTGGGTAGGGAATTTAATTCAGAAAAAATTTATTTGCGGGGAGAAGGGTTAATCTGCCCATTACCCAGTATCACAGTCATAATATGATGGGGGGGGCGGTTTGTAGCTACTTTCCGCATTTAAATGCAGGAGATACTGTTAACTGCCAAGGTTAGGGAAATTGTAGGGGAAATTAATAAGGTAAAGGATGTAGAGCAGGAAGAATAAGAAAGAGCAGGAGTAAAAATAGAGGAGAGGAATCAGAATACATGTTAGCCCCTCACTGTATTCAGTGGGGCTGATTCCTGTGTGTGTGTAAGATGGCAGCTGAAGGGCCCCAGGATCAGTAAGTCAATTTTAAGGAGCCAAACAGCTGATAGGCTACAGGGAGGAAAGGTGCTCTCAGGGCATTGGGCAGAGAAGAGTGCCAGAAGAGTAAAATGATCAAGGAGGGACAGGGTGAGATGAAAGAGCAGCTAAGTGGGAGTATGAGAAAGAAAACATCTGAAAATCAATACAATAATTTTAAATTCAAGAAAACGAAGAAGCTTGTGAAGAGAGCAGAAGGTGCATTCATGATTATTTGTGCTCATGATGGTAACTGGTTGGATATACTGCTTCATTTCCAATCAGCGCATGTCCCATAGCTTTCCGTTGTCATCCTGTAATTCGTCATACCACAAATGTTTCAGTTTTGGTTTGTCTTGCTTTTGTTATGTTATAGCTCAAGAAAGTGCCTTCCCAGGTGGCAATAATGCAGTAACAGTGCAGAAGCACTGCAGAGCAACTAGCAAAGGGGTATGGTGTGCAGACTGTCCAGTTTCAATCCAGCGCTAATGCATTGCTATTCCATCAAAGACATACTGCAGAAGACATCAGCAACCCAACCCATAATAACAAGCAAAATGAATTAAGTAAGCTGAAGAACTCAAGACAGAGGAATGATACCTGCTCCCCACTGCCGTTGACAATATTCTCAGTAATGGGAAAGTCCTTTTTCTTCATCACCGCAGGCTCATCCTTGCGATCTGATAGTTGCAAGAGCATGATCTTCACTTGATCCTTCTTCATTTCTAAACCCAAAAAATCCCCCGTCTCTGAAAAATAGATGTGAACATTAGGATATCTAGTGATCAAGACTACCCATGTCTCATTCATATGGTTGCCATATAAATTCTTTTTAAATTGCTATTGGGGGGGGGGGGAGAGCTGGAACTGAGGTGGGGGGGGGTCTGTCACCAGGACTGTTTGTTTGTTTGTTTAGCCCAGCTTTGCTGCTAATCAATGGACAATCTTAAATTAGAATGTGAATTATTATATAGTCAATAAACACTGATAGATTATTTTCCATGAGGGAGAGGAAGCAACTGTCCAGGGTTTCAGTGGCACACAATAACAAATACAAAATGCAGTAGGCCAATCATCACTTAGGTTCATGATCATCATATGTGACTAGGTGCTGAACGGTGATAGTAATTCAGAGTCACCAGGCTCCATGCATAGGTTTAGAAACTAAAACCAGCTCAGTTGGTTAGAGTGTGGTGTTACTGGAGCTAATAACACCAAGGTTGCAGGTTCGATCCCTGTATGGGACAGCTGCACATTCCTGCATTGCAGGGGGTTGGACTAGATGAATCTCAGGGTCCCTTCCAACTCTGCAGTTCTATGATTCTATAATTCTGCTGAATTATGATTCTATAATTCTTGGCTAGTCTGTGGAAGTGATTTCAACCTAGCTGTTTCTGCTGTTGATGCAAAGGCAGGAGCTGTCACTGCATAACACATTATTGTTACGATTATTATTACTATTTATATCTCACCTTTCCTCCCAAAGAGCTGGTAGCAGCACTGTACTTTAGAGGGTATCTATGTGTTTTTAAGGATTCTACTGAGCTTCTACTACAACACAGTTCTGCCCCTGAACAAGAAGGGTCATAGCTTAGTGGAAAAGCACCTGTGTTGCATGCAGGGGGTTTCAGGTTCAATTCCCGGTATTTGCAGGTAGGGTTGGGAGAGTAGGTTCCTTGTCTGAAGCCCTGGACAGCTGCTGCCAGAAAATGTAGACAATACTGAGCCAGATGGACCAATGGGTCTGACTCAATGGTCCAAGAAATGTACAAAGGTGGCAGGTGCTGCTTGGCAATCTGTGCTCAACAAGACCGCAGTTGTATGTGTTAGCCTACCAAGCCTCACAACCCTAAGCAGAACCCAAGCCCTTCGTCCTCACTCAGATGACTGCCTGCTGTCTCATTCCACAGGCCACCTCTCAGCCAACACCAGCATTGTTACCACCAAGCTAGACAGGCAAACTGTGGACATATGCAGATTACCAGATTCGGGGTCATTCTTGCACATACTGGGCAAACCAGTAAATTGCTCCTTCGCAAAGCTCTGTGCATGATTTAATAGCATTTCATCTTTCTCTTTGTCCCCCCCCCTCCCAGAAATGTGCATCCCTGTGTGCGCTCAGAGATTCACAAGCCAGTACTTGGAAGTTTTGAAGCCAAATGTGGCAATCGGGAAGCCAGGGTGTTGTGGCAAATAATGTGGAGCAGGAACAAAAGTGTGGAAAGGAATGGTATTCAAAGTACAGCTACATGGGCTGTTTAAAAAAATTGGCAACCCAGTGCAAGCTGTAAAGGAGTCTGGAGTCAGCCATTGGTTTTCAACTGGTGGGTCAACTCAGGACCCACTCAGAACCCCTAATCCAAGGTGGACCACAACAGCAGCACTATCACCAGTGGGTGATATATTGGGCGGAAATTAAGAAATGGGCTCCTCAAATGCATGCTTGGGTTAAAAGTAAGTCCTAGGTCTGAAAAGGTTGAAGACTATGGGTCTAGACTAGGTCTCCAGCTGTTTTTGGACTCCAACTCCCATCATCCCTAGCTAGCTGGATGGTGGGAATTGTATTCCTAAAACAACTGGAGACCCGAATTTGGGAAACACTGGTCTAGACAACAGTTCAGGCAAACTGCCAAAAAGAAAGCACACTTACCAGTGCCATCAGTCAAGGTACAAACGTAAGAAGGCAGCATGGGTAAAGGGAGGCCATCTTTAACCTTCTCTTTAAGGCCACTCTGCATGGCTGAATACACAGAATCCCTCACATGTTGAAGCTGCTCCTCGGGTAGATGAAAGGCCTGTACGTGTTTCTGGATCTGGTCAGAAACAGGAGCGTTTTTAGAGGGAGCACGGTGGGGAAGCAGTTTGTGATCTTCCTTGCCCTCAGTACTGGATGTGCCCACAAACAAACTTCTCTTTAACCTGGGAACAAAATTCATCTCCCTGGAGCTTTGTGGTGAAGGTGAAGCTGTAGGTGTAGATGTGCGTGATTGTGAAAAGGTGACAGCTAAAAAAGAGGACTCGCTGGCATCAGAGTCCCGCTGCTTGGGAAGAGGGGGAAAGCCTGAATTACGTCTGGAGTCGAAGGAACTAGGTCCTGAATTAAGAGCGAAAAATGTGTTGGAGGCCGAGGTGGAATCCAGCGAGGAATTTACCACTAAGGAAAACCTATGACGGTCCTCAGAAGCTGGATTGGGACCTGACATGGAATTTAGCAGAAACGAAACTTTAGAACACAGATCATCGTCACTGTCTCTCCGACTGGCTCGGCCCCGGTCAGACATGGTGTCATCGGTCACAAAAAGCTCTCGTCTGTCAAGTCAGCAAAGGGCGGAAAGCGCGAGGGGAGAGCGGGGGCGAGGCAGGCCAGCATGTGGGGCTGGGAGTTGAGTCCGGCTCAGGGTGGGGCGCAGAGTGAGGCCGAATGTGAGCAGGCCAGTTTTGAAGCTGCGCGAGCGAGGCATGAACAGACACAGGAGGCAGGGTGCAGGAGGGAGAGGTGAAGTAGAAAGAAAGCAGAGTGGGAGGGAGGGAGGGTGGCAGAGGAGGAAAGGAGAGAGAGAAAGGAGAGGAGGGCTTGGAGCAGGAGGCAGTTGGAAGATTCCTCAAGCGAGAGAGTGGAATGGAAGCGGGGGGGGGGGGGGAGTAGAATGTGGGGCCACAGAGTTATAAAAAGGGCAGAGGAGACCATATAATTGTCTGCATAGGCCGTTTCATGGTTCATACTGAAAAGCCATTTTTTAAAATAGCCTCTGGAGCTGAGGGCTGGGGAGAAGAGTCCCCTGAGGGGATTTTAACCTTGCTGTGACTAGACCCCAGTAGTGCCCACCTCCAAATAAAAGATAGCTGTGGAGTTCACACACTTTCTAATTCAGGTCTTATCTTGTAAGAAGACGTTTCTTTCTTTCTTTCTTTCATTTGTTTTCCTCACCATTGAAAAAATAGCCTTGCCAATGGAAATTCCAATGCGAGTGCAGACTTTTGTCCCAATTGGTTGGTGGGGCAGAGTGGCCCATGACTAGGGACAGAGGAGCAATTTTCATTTTGCATTTAAAGCCAGATTTATCAAAGTTGCGCTTTCCAAAGCAATATGAGGACTGAAACATAGCTATCCTTCAAGCTTCACACTCATCTGAATTTTGTGATGCAGTTCTCCAGTCAAAAACGTTCACAAAAATTCATATGTTAGGGGAAAGGGTACATAAAAAGGAATTTATATACAAAAATAACACACAAAAATAGATTCCATTAGGGGGAAATGCTAGTTAAAATGTGTACACCAGTCAAAAATGCATATAGAAATGTATTTGTTAGGAGAATTCACACTATAATAATAATAATAATAATAATAATAATAATAATTTATTATTTATACTCCGCCTATCTGGCTGGGCCTCCTCAGCCACTCTGGGCGGCTTCCATAGAAACCAAAAATACAGTAAAATATCACACGTTAAAAACTTCCCTGAACAGGGCTGCCTTAAGATGTCTTCTGAATGTCAGGTAGTTGTTTATCGCTTTGACATCTGATGGGAGGGCGTTCCACAGGGCGGGCGCCACTACCAAGAAGGCCCTCTGCCTGGTTCCCTGTAGCTTTGCTTCTCGCAATGAGGGAACCGCCAGAAGGCCCTCAGCGCTGGACCTCAGCGTTCGGGCAGAACGATGGGGGTGGAGACGTTCCTTCAGGTATACTGGACCGAGGCCGTTTAGGGCTTTAAAGGTCAGCACCAACACTTTGAATTGTGCTCGGAAACGTACTGGGAGCCAATGTAGGTCTTTCAAGACCGGTGTTATATGGTCTCGGCGGCCGCCCCCAGTCACCAGTCTAGCTGCCGCATTCTGGATTAGTTGTAGTTTCCGAGTCACCTTCAAAGGTAGAGTGCATTGCAGTAGTCCAAGCGGGAGATAACCAGAGCATGCACCACTCTGGCGAGACAGTCCGCAGGCAGATAGGGTCTCAGCCTACGTACCAGATGGAGCTGGTAAACAGCTGCCCTGGACACAGATTTGACCTGTGCCTCCATGGACAGCTGTGAGTCCAAAATGACTCCCAGGCTGCGCACCTGGTCCTTCAGGGGCACAGTTACCCCATTCAGGACCAGGGAATCCTCCACACCTGCCCGCCTCCTGTCCCCCAAAAACAGTACTTCTGTCTTGTCAGGATTCAACCTCAATCTGTTAGCCGCCATCCATCCTCCAACCGCCTCCAGACACTCACACAGGACCTTCACCGCCTTCACTGGTTCTGATTTAAAAGAGAGATAGAATGCTGAAGAATTTTCATGAGGGTTTTTCCTTTAAAACAACAAAAAAAACCTTCACAAACTGATGCTGTAATGTGGAGATTGGAGTTTATGATTTGAAAAACAAGAAACAGAGAGAACCAAAATTGACAGATTCTTCCGTTCCAAACTATGTCAGCCTTTCACTGAGGTTCACTTTGGATATCACAGGTTGAGGATCAAGATTGAGACTAAGCCTGCTTCCAGACTGTCACCATTTTGTTCCAGTGCATTCCAAAATTTTGGCTTGCAGTATTAAAGCAGATTAAATAGTTGTGTCATAAACCACTTTTAACAATCCCTGTTTCCCCTTAGCGCAGCCCGCTCTACCATTACAGTACCAACATCCTAAGTGCAGACCTTACTGAGCGTGAAACTGTCTGCTTCAGGAGGCAGTGGGCTTTTCACCACTGGAGGCCTATAAGCAGAGTTTCCCATCCCTCAGGTGAAATGCGACTTAGCATCAAGTGGGGAATGTGCTTACTGAATGAGGTCTGATTGTGCAACAAGATTTTCACCTCCTCTCTCTGCACACACCCTAAACTCATAACTGTCAACTTTTCCCTTTTCTTGTCAGGAATCCTATTTGGAATAAGGGAATTGCCCTTAAAAAAGGGAAAACGTTGACAGCTATGCCTAAACCTGCCCTGGGGTGTTCTTCAAATCCACCAGAACAGATTTAGGAGGCCTACGGAGGAGGAATGGCATGAAGTCATGCTGCACAAGAAGACCAGAGCATGCAACAACTTAGTTGAGCGCTGCCCAAAGCAACAAGCCCAAATTTATGGCAAGCTTTGAGAACAATGACAGAACAGCTAACCAAACAGGTCCATGCTTTTATTACCAATTGATTGGCAGCTAGAGAGAAGTGCTCTTACCTTAGACTCATTGCACTGGCTTCGCATAAGAGCTGCTTCCAGGAGCTTTTTCCGCTCAGAGTTCATTAGAACTGAGCACCTGGCAAGATACCCTGTAAGGAGACAATGGACTGGGTTGAATTCAGCATATGCTTTGCATGCAGACAATCTCAGATTCAATCTCCAGGTAGGAATGGGAAAGGTTGAAGCCTTGCGTGGTCTAGACCTGTTCTTGGCTTCCTGCTTGTGGTTCATCTGTCCATGAGTCCAGGTTCGCCTGTCATGACCAGCCAGACTCTGATTTTTTTCAAGTTTGTTTCGTCTCCCATGGGGGATGAGCAAAACGTGCTTTAAAGAAACCACGGTTTAATGTTGTGTGCAGACCACCTTATTTCCATTGCAGTAGACAATACTGCTAGATGGACCAATGTCTGATTAACCCAGCAGATGGCAGATTCTTCTGTGCTTCCTAGTCATCCTACCAATTCTAGATGCTGGTTTCCATTTTGAACAGCT